CTGTGTTGGCCCTAATGCATCCTTTTCTGAGATTTCTGAACCTTCTAGTTCAAAACCAAGAAGAAATTTTGTACCACAAAACATAATCTCTGAGTTTTTATCTTCCATATGTTCATGGTTAGAAAGTACGTATTAGTCTTGCTTTTAAAGTATAAAAATAAAAAAGGAACTTTATTTATATGTCAAATAATGGAGTATTTCTCAAAATCGTTTTTTTTTAAGTTTGAACTTTCAACAACCCAGCCTTATTTTTTCATAGCAGTTCATGGACAGCAGAGAGGTCCTCTATCTGGCATTGGATTAAGCATATCATTGGGAGCACTCCATTGCCTGGACAGTGTGGGACGATCACCCTCCTTCTACTGAGCATCTGCTTGTGTTGCACAAACACTGCTCTTAATCATAATGGTCCCAATCCTATTTATTTGGTCCAGTATCAATTTAACTTGGGATTTATTCCACCTGTTTCTTATTTTCATGTTTAGCTACTTGATAGTATTTAAAGAAAGGGAAGACTTTTTCCACATTTACAAATCAGTTTCACAGCTATTTTTTAAAGCGGAAATATCCACCGCTGAATATGGAGGTAGTTTAAAATAGATTGTGCATCAGGATTTCCTTTCTAAACAATTTCTCAATTTTGATTATAAAAAAAGATTTTCTTTCTATAAAAATGCAGGCTCTATTGGATTATTTCCCACTTGGCACATCTCTTTGCATAAGAAATTTACATTGCCATGCAGCTTCATTCTTAGCTTGTACACACTATCAAAAGCTAGAAGTTCAAATCATCAGTATCACAGTATTCTCATCTCTACAGGACCTCAGAGGCATTATATTTTTCTGGGTGTATAGCCTGTGTGTTAGACAGCATGAGTGACCTGATGTGCCTTTGTAGCTGCTGGTCCATAGAAGGTCCTACAGTTCAGCTTGTTCCAACACTCCTCAATGGATCCAAGCCAATGCAAGTGGGACCTCTCTGACCTCTGACATTAATTCAGCAGAGACTGGTTCCATCTCGGAACGAAGTATCTGTATCAGCAGTAGAAAATTACAACAGTGTTATGGTATCAGCAGAAAGTACAGCCTAGCTGCTCTAGAAAACCCTTTCAGTAGTGTATAAGGATTATAACCAAAAAAACTTACGGAACACAGCGAAGTATAGAGGAGGTATAGCACAGCAAGTGTTGACTACAGACAGCAATAATGATTTTATGCAGGCTGACTAATGACACCTTTTTTTGTCTTTGAAAGCGTATTTTGAATCTTGATGTTGACAGGCATGGGTGAAAAAGCTGTCCCAAATAAAACAGAAGTATGCATTTCTTTCTTTAGATGTAATCAAAGATAAAAATATGGCAATGGAATCTTTGAAGCTTACTGCGAAACATCTGTGCTCCACAAAGATTTAAAAGTAGCACATGGTTAGCAGAAATACTACTTTTTGTAGTTCTGCACTATCCTGAATCTGCATAGATTTTACCTTTGGGTAACTGTTTAACTGTGGGTATTTGAGGCCATGGTAAACTGTGGTGCTCCGTATGGAAACTAAATGGAAAAAAAAACAAATGGGGTTTGTGCTCCTCTGTTCCTTACTCTCCTTATTCACTCTTCCCAGTAAGTTTGAAGGGAAACTCCGTAGTCTTACCCATGGTCCCTCATTCTGCTTCCCTCAGTGTCCCTAATGCAGGGTAACGTTCAAGAGCGTATCACCTCTGCAATTAGATTGAACATCTCCTCTCTGCTGTGTGATGCCTGATTTGCATTTGTATGCTCACAATAACAGTGGCTAGGAGCTGTTGGTTAGTTATGATTGCTTTTTTAGCTGGTTAAAGTTTGGAGTATGTCTGTTTCATACAGTAATCTAAGGAAGGAAATCCAGTGGATGTCATCTGTAAGAAGTGAACAGTGTGCGCACACTCAGACTAAGTCCAACCACCGTGAGAAGCAGCACCGACAGCATATGGCCCTGTTTACATACACAAAATTAACAGTATGAAATCCAGTTAGGAAGGTGGAGATCGTAATCATCACATTAGACCGCAAGTTCCAGAGTATGTAACTCAAGACTTCAGCATTTCTTTCTCTTGGTTTGAGCTAATGTGTTTGTGGTGAAAGGTCGACAGGGAGCATAAAGCCAGGACATGAACGACTGGCATTTCATCAGAGCTTTCACTAGCCTGTACGGCAGGGTGCAAGCTCCAGAAAAGCTTTACTACTTGCAGGGATTGTGGACAAGGAAATTCCCTAAGCAGTCTCATTTGCTTTTGTGTAGCCACAGAAGAGTAGGATTCAGTTGTGAAAGGGAAAATATCAAGGGAATTTCTGTTGCAAATGTATGCGTGCAAGAAAAGCATGATTTCAAGCTCTTCCGTGCGCCACTAATCTAACAAGGGTTATCCAACATAGTGCTTCATGCCAGACTGACGCATGTTTAATATCTAGGTTTATATTTTTCTGTGGGTATCCTTGCTGCACATGGTCAAATATCTTATCTTCCTAATAATTAAAAGGAAAGAGTTCCAATATTGAAAACTGTCACATGTTGAAAAGTGTGTCCTGGCCTGTCTTCCCTTTATGGCTAAGCACTTAAGTAATTCACAAAGCAATCAAAAATGGCCGGTACACGCACATCCTACTCTGCAGTAATTACTCATTTGCACCTGGATTCAGGTTTGCAAACCTTTTCACAAAAGCCATTACATACACGGTCCTGCTGATACCAGTAAAACAACCCTTGGCTGTGTTCCCTGATGGGAGTCGTGCAACGCCGTACAACCAAGGGAGAGGTGCCGGCACCAGGCATCCTGCGCAACAGAAGTGCTGAACCTCAGCAAGGTAAACGGTTATGTACTCTTACTAGTTACTTTTCCAGCAACATCTAATTAATCTAACCTTGAGATTACATTTCTGCCTTTTCCAGGGATGCGATTAAACTCTAATCAAATAACTATTTAAAGTGTTAAATAGAGTTTTAAAAAGGTCTAATCCCCTCAAAGAAATTTTTCAGCACAGTTAATGACGGCTAGTTGAAATGTTAATGTTTAATGAGTTTATCCAAAGAAACTTAGAGAAGGCGCCTGATGCCTTAGTTCAGAAATGTTGTACTGCAGCTGAATTTGTTTTTACAGTTTAAACAAATATCACACTCAAATAAAATGTTTTCATTATTTAACAAGTAGTTTTGGTAACAAATTGTATCAATTAAACATATGTAGAACTACTGTTCTCTTTAAGCACCAAGTACACAAAAATATTCGCTCATTTGGACTTTTTTTTTGCCAAAATGTGTTTCACACTCATCACGTGTGACGGAATTTTGATAATGTAAGAATTTTTCACAACTGCTGTAACTTTGTGAAACATCAGATGCTGACTAACTTCCTAAAAGAAATTCAGAATTTAAAGAACGGTTGAAATCTACCATGACATTTGGAATGGATTGACAACGATGTCATGCTATGAAAAAAGGGATAATAAACAGAGCAGTAATGAAGACGAAAATGGGAGTGTATAGGAGAAATAATGCTTTTGCTTGGAATAGGACGTTTAATAAGTGTTTCAAGTCAAGGCTTTGCAGTATTCATAGAATTCCAGATTTTTCAAATTTGTAATTCTACTCACCATTCTCTTCCCTTTCTATAGGTTGCTGATTTATAGTCTTTTCTATAAATAGAAAAATTAGATATGTTTTAATATTTAGTATTTGAATAGTGAAACTTAAGTAAGTGCAATATTTTCATTTGGATTTTTAATAAAATAAAAATAAAGATCAGGCTTCCAGCTCATATGAAGAATGACAGAACTCGCATGGATTTTGTTAGCTTATGACAACTAAGGACCTGGCCAAAGGAAATCAGAGTTCTGGTTGGTAGATAAGTCAGATATAAGTGCCAGTTGGTTGGTTTCCATATCGACCATAACTTTGAAATTTGTGAATGCAGAAACTCAGCTGTAAAGCTGCACAGCTAGGTGTGTGATTCAGAGAGCTGTGGTGCTGGGATGGGAAACTGAGCAGACTTGGGAGGGTCTGGAGCACAATTAAAGTCCCCAGCTAATGCTGTTTCTGATCATATATTAATTCTCTTTGACTCCATCCATTTACATGCAGATTCTGGCTCTAGAATTGGTTCTGGACGGGGAAAAAAAGAGTGAGTAAAGACAGAGAGTCCTTCGTGGTATGACAAATTAGATGACAATGACTACTGGGGCCATGCAAATGACACTTTCTTGTTACTGGTCAGTTGGGATCATCTAACAAGGAACCACATTCAAATTTTATGACCTAAAGAGTTTGTGAAATATTAAGACCATATTTTTTTCATGACCGTGTTTTGAATGCCTACCGGTGTCCCATGCAGCAGGCTAATTTACAGATGATCTTTTGAGCTATGAGTAGCATATCCCCACTGCAAGAATTATTTTGATAAGTGCTATCATTTGTAGACAAAAATTTTGAAATAAGACTACCAACCAGCATACTTTAAAGCTGCCGAGGTAACCACAACGTACCAAAAAGCCAGCCAAGATGATGTGGGTAAGCTTTCAGCCATCAGCAAAGCTGGGATAAGATAGAATACCTCAAGGCATAACATTTTGTTTCTTGTTTGTCAGCACTGGACTGTTTTCTGTGACTGTGCCACTTTCTTCTGCTTTTATCCAAAAGAACAAGCAGATACTGTTGTTTCTAAGCAAATTAAATAAAACAGATTTGCCTCTATGGAAAAGGAGAAGTTCCCAATGTTTTTTCTCATCTATGCCTCAAAGCTTCTCTTTGCCACTGCACCCATGAGGTTCCCAAGCGTACTGTACCCTTCCTTGCTATTCCTCGGCTACTGCTGCACAGGCAGCCCCAGTGCTTCCCACACCCCCTCCACTGAACCAGGACATCTTGCTGCTTTGTTTTCATTAATAAAGTGTAAATGTGACTCTCAGCATGCGGGCTCTTTAGGACTGTATTAGCTCAATGGAGATACTCATAATGCTTTCTTGTTAACAGTGAGTGAAGCCGCAAGAAGCTCAGTACTCCTGGATGGTTGAAATCTTGAAGAGCAGCGTCGGTCGAGCAGTGCAGCAGAAGCCATGTCTCTGCCCTTCCGAAAAGAGTTGGAGAAATATAAGAATATCAATGAAGATGAAATACTCAGCAAACTCTCAGAAGATGAACTGAAACAGCTAGAGCATGTTCTTGATGACCTTGATCCTGAGGTTAGTAATGGGGACTGGGGAGATCATAGTTCAAAAGCTGCCTATTATAAATGCCATTACTGCCGCATTTTATATTTGTATTCTGTTGCAGTAGAGGCAGTTACCCTAAAGGATGAGCAGCTCAGCTAGGGACATTTTGGGTTTATTCCTGCTAATGGTGTGCTACTTGCTTTTGTACAAGTGTGTCCTTTCTCTATCCCTTGTCTATTTAGACACAAGCTTGTCTGCAATCTAAATCTTTAATCATGTTTGTACACTGCAGCACGATGAGAAGCTTTTTATGGCTGCTATTTCTGAGCACAGCAGTAAACAAACAAACAAACAAACAAACAAACAAACACTAGTGAAATAAGATCAAATCTTTCGAACTTCTGAAATCTGTTGACTATGTCATTCAGCACAGATATTTTTAGCTGAAGAGAATATGTTTAGGCATGTTATGAAAAATAAGAGTCAGCTACACAACTGTCAGTTTCTAGAGAGCGAGGATAATTTGGGTATTTGAAGACACTCTCACAAAGAATTTAAAGATCGCTGTCCTAGGAACCACTCAGTCCTACAATGATGAGGTTACAGTCACAAGCATGCTGGTTGGGAATTCTGACTGTACCTATCCCAAAAGCTTCTAAACTGATGGAGGAGTTTGAAACTGGCAGGTAAACTGGCAGATAAAATTCATTCACTCTGGAGAAAAAACAAATTTGAAAAAATGCAATAAATTAAAGCTCCTAGATTTATAGCACAAATATATCTGGACATTAAGGGTGGGCTTTACTGTTCTCTCCTTCCATGCTGCCACTTCCCTCACTACTACCACTTCTACAGTGCATTTTTCTGGTATTTTCAAGTATCTGGTGTCTCAAATGGAGACACAGAACATTCAAGAAAAAAAAAAAGGCCACAGTGCATTTGTAGTCAGGCTACATACGTGCAGTAAATTTGTAGCACTCTCGGCACATTTGTGCATGCACAGATAAAATGTCTAGTGACTTGAGTTCAGTGGATGTGCTCAGGATTCACTGGGTATTTGCCACGGATCAGACTTACCGTGCGTGTTCGGGCCAACGATGAAGTGTTTCTGCAGTACTCTGGGGCATCTTCAACATGTTGGCTTTACTGCACATGCACTGGAAAGTCCATGTACCTGTATTCCTTTCTGGGATTTCCTGGACTGAAATGTGGGAGCCTTATGCATCTTCTTACATTATGGGATGCAGATGCAATCGCATGGTCACACAGCTACATGTTTAAAGTGGAGCTTCATCTGCTTTCTTCCTGCATGCTCTAAATAGCTGAAGTCCACATAATTCACCAATTACTTTCTGCGCGTGCCATTCATTTCTGAAGTCCAAGAGACATCTTCTTCAGAATGAAAGGAATTTTTGAAAAAATAAAGAAGAGAGAGAGTAAAATGGGGAGGAAAAAGACTAAATGAAGAGAAGAAAATGCATAGAAAACTTACCCTGGCCTATTTACCTGGACTGAAAACTCCGTGGTTACAATATGCGTAACACAAAGGGCTCTGATCTTGCTCAGTTCTTTGGTGCTGTGATTGTAAATATGGTTAATAAAAATATTAATAGGTGGTACAATCGAGAAGCCTGGAAGATATACTGGTTTTAATGGCTACATTTAGGTAATGTATGTTATTGCCGTCACCGAAGAGCATTATGTGAAGTAACACGCAAAGAATGGTTTCACTAAAAAAACAACATTATTGAAATGAAATTTGGAATGGTATATGAAACGGCTGCATCTCCATTACGTGCCTTCCTCTCTTTCACAGAACGCCTTACTTCCAGCAGGATTTCGGCAAAAGGACCAGACCACTAAACCTGCTACGGGCCCTTTCGACAGAGAACGCCTGCTCTCGTACTTGGAGAAGCAAGCACTTGAGCACAAAGACAGAGAAGACTTTGTACCATTTACAGGGGAAAAGAAAGGTACCATCCGTCTCCGTGTCGGTGTTCAGTAATGGACTGCCTGAGCGCAGGCATCCACCATGCCTGGCCTTGTTGTGGAATAGGCTGGGACAAAAGAGGTGGAGGCTGTTACTGTGCAGGGTGAAGCTCAGGACTCAGATCTAGAGCTGTCGTAGCAGGAGATGAAGTGGAGGTTTTATCTGCAGTGTAGTGGTCTGCCTTGCTACTCTGGAGTTATAATGGCAGGTTTTGTCAGGCCTGTTGGTGGGTATGGGAACACAGGAACACAGTCCGGCAAAGGGCTCCATCGGCAGCTCCCAGATCAGCAAGTGCCTCTATCTGCAGTCAAGGATGGGCAAGGGTGGTGGCCTCGCTGACCCCACTGGGACTGCTCCCACGTTAAGCATTAGGCCCATGCAAGGGCACTGTACGGAGGGAGGTGTTCAGGAGGAAACATATTAAATGCCTTTCTAAGTAAGTATTGCCTACAGTTGCTGTAAGTAACAGCTCGGGGAATACACTTACAAAAAATAAGTATTTTTCCAGTTGTTTACTAGCACATCTGGCAATGCTATTCATGCAGACAGTTTCTCTGCTTCCCCTTGTCCTACAGCTACAGGAAAAAAGGGAAAAACAGGAAAACCTAATTCTAATCATTCAAACATCAGTAGGATAACCTTAGGGCAGGAACAGTTGTATTTTTAAGCAAACAGTGTTGCTTTAGCACCATTATTTCCTTTTCCTCATGTATATACAGTGGATAAAAATGTCTACCTCAGGCCACCCCTTCATTCAAGAAGGAACTTGCTACATCTGGGTCCATTCCTGGCCATCTAATGAATTTGCCATTATTTCAATGGGACCTGCTTAAGGGAAAGCAGATATTTCAAGAAAGTCAAAGGCAACATTTTTTTACTTTATGTATCATTGTCAAAGATATAAAATGTTATTTGCAGGCCAAGAGTTGTTACTGTCATTACATTGTGTTCTTAGTCTTTGAAACAATGGTTTTAGACAAATGAGGAATTTTTCAGCTAGACCTGATGTGTGATTTTATCATGCAGCATATTCTTTAACCTACATTTTCCTCCATCATAACTTGCACTTACTGCTATTCACAGGGTGATCCTGCCAGTAGCAGGAGTGATCAAGCTCACCTGTACAGAAAGGAAAACGGTTTACTGTAGTGTGAATTTATTACCAATTTTTACCCTTTTCCAGTCTCGCATATACCACTTGTATCAGTGCAGTACAAGTTACTGCTTGCAGGTGTCTGCATATTTATACTAACATCTTCAGTCAGGTCTCACCTTACTGATATTTACCGACTTAGAGCTAAGACTTTGCATTTTGCACTGTAGTCATGACTCAGATCTCCAAACATGCCTGAAACATAAGTACACAAAAAACCAGTGGTGCGTGGAATTTTATATACCCATAGGACTGGCACTCGATCTGTACAAAACTGAGCCCTGTATTGTCCCTGACAGTGTTATTGTAGGCACCGGCCTGTTTATTCTATTTCAGTTTTCTTTTGATGAGGCTAAAGCAGTATTATTCCTACGTTTGCTTCCAGATGCCCTTAAAGTGCTTATTAGTGTTGCTTAGTGATTCCTGGTGTCTCTGATGTGGAAATACCACTGCTTTACAAACACAAATAACCGCACGTCACTTTACTCTCATCACAGAGTGAACTCAGCCATGCTAGCATTTAAAGCTATTCTTACTTTGTTTTTTCATTCATTGTGATCATTTACTGCAAAATTATAATTTTAAGAATTATCACAATTACAAGGTTATGACAGCATTTTAGTCCAAGGGTATTATTCCCTTAATTTCTCCTGACAAAATCCTCAGTATTGGCTTTAGCAGATTAAGTCAAATGAAAACCACCACATATTCTGTGATTTGTGCAGTCATTTTACAATTCCAATCTAAACGCAAGGAATTCTACTAAATTTTCTTTGAATTGAAAGGCCAAATGCCATGAAAATACCCTCGTTCCTTTGTTAATATTAGAAATCGCTGAATTAACCTGAGATCTGTATACCTGATGAGGTCCAATACCTTGACAGTTGAGAACTGGATGAACAGCACAGTGTCATTTTTGTGCTGCTTTAAGGGAACTGGCTCTGAGTTCTTTGGCTGTTTGTTTTGAGCTTGATCCCATATTGGTACTTGAGTTTCTCTTCTGCTGCCCCCAGCTTGCTTGGCAGGAGGGGTCCTGTGGAAAGACCACCAGACTTCAAACACTGGGCTTCGCTGCCTCCTTTTCTTGTTCTCCTTCCTCCTTGCTCCGCACTGCTAAGACTTCTTGCCGAATCTGAGCCTTATAAAACATATGATTGAGCTCTCCATCTGCTAAATGTACTGAAATCTTCCTATGAATCGTGTGATAATTCTGCCAGTGAGGTGAATTTGGCAAAACATGATGAATGTCACATACAGGCCACGTGTGGCTAGCTCTGGATCTTAGAATCCATGCTTTTAACTGCAGCATTACTGGTTTTGACAAGCTCGATTGAAGAGACAATAACAGAATGTCTGTATTAAAATATTAGTGACATGATTTTCATTTGTACCAAGATATTTTCTGTGCAAGGAAATAAAGCAATCCGGCAAAGACATTTCCAAGATACATGCTAGATTTAAAGTCACTTTAATTAGAGAATAATTAGTATTCTTCCAAGCTCAGTAATTAGCTCAGGATAAATAATTTACATTTCTAAAATGTATCCTCAAAAGAAACTAAAGAAGAATATCTCTTGAGGAAGAGCTTATTCCTCACCTTCTGCATGTTGACGGTCTCTAAGGTGTAATTACAGATCGGTAAATATTTACATGATTACATTATATTATATAGAAGCCTGTTAAATTGTTTCTTTACATTAAAGCAGCACTATAATGTAGCCATACTGTAAATAGTCCCTAATTAATTTTACACTAATTCTGCTGGTTAAAAATTAAGTTCTGGGGCAGCTCCAAAATGCATCCAGTTGTGTATAATTAGAAACGGGAGGTGTTGATGTCAGTGTACCATTTGGCACTATTTACCACCTGGGACCATTTGTGTGTCAGTAGGATTAGAATACATCAAGTGTTGGTTAAGCTTTTGTCACTGTTTTGTACTTTGATATTTTTCTGCCACTTGGGAAAGTATTTATTTTTTTCAAATTTAGGAAGTGGGATGCTTCTACCAAATGTTAAGTGACATTTCTACCAGTTCTTATGGTTATTATGCAAAGCTGATACTGTCTTGAAAATTCAGTGATGAGCCAAAAAGAAGGTGGCATTTAAAATATCCTCCTTCCAGAATAGTCTGTGATACATCATTATTGTTTATCTAGTGTCTCTACCTCTCTTTTTTTGTGTTAATATTTTATTGGAGTGTTCTTGATGGAAAAGCAATACCAAACAGCTGCTGAAGGACAAAATTCAGTTGCCTACATTGGTCTCTATATGCTGAACACCGCCATCAGGTTTTGATTGTGCTACAAAACAAGCCAAAACAAATTCCAGAGCTGACAGGGATATTCAGAGTGGTTAAAACACAGGAAGTGTTAAATATGAGCTCAAGGTCGGGGACTGGTTGTGCAGGGAATTGCCTTGTCTTTGATTGTAGTCGTGGTTTTGAGAGGCTGGAAACGTTTGGCAAAAACAATCAAACGTATGGCATGCATTAGGGTTTTGGCCCTCTGCCGTATTTCAGCTTGTTAACATACGATGTTAATTGCTGTACAAAAAGAAGGTTTTAAGCCTGTATGGGATAGCTCTCAAATTTCAACGAAAACCCAAGTTTTGCACTTGGGGCCAGAGCGGCTGCAGCCCGACAGGCGCACACCCAAACTGGCCATCAAGCAGTTTTTTCAGACCGCTTTACCCCACATTCTCCCTAACACAAGTCAGGGTTGGGTACTTGGTTTGAATGTCCCCATGGCGAGTGTTTGCTCCCGTTGTGGTTTGCAAATGATCTGGTGGCTTTCAGGAACTGTTGTGCAACACAGCTGTTAATCAGCCATTCCCACAAACAGCGGTTCCTTATTAATGAGCAATGGAGGTATAGGGAGTTAGGACTGATAATTGTAGCCATAGTGATTGGCAGTTTGTAAGTGTTTATTTTATGTATTTTTGGATTAGTTCCTACTTAGGATAGATATTCTAGAAATCCTTATGTAGAACCTGATGAGCTACAGAAGTTACTTAGACTGACCCACTGCGTTTAACACATATAGCTGGAACAGCCAGTTATCACACTTAGATCACTGTGAAGCCTTTTCTGTATCATTTTCAAGTTCATGAAGGGTCCAGGAATAGAAGGAAAAAAGGGAGAAAGGAAGGGACAGTGCAGGCACAAAATATTAAAGAGCAATGTCAGTGCTGCATGTTTTCTCTTACTGAACGTGGTATGTACATCTGATCTCAGTTAAGATCTGAGCACTACTGTAACAAAAACAAAAGCTATTAACAACATTTCTGTTTCTGCTCTGTTGCAGTGGTTCTCTTAAAAACATACTAGTGAAATGTCATTGAAAAAAATTCTGTTGTTGTGAAATATCATTAGATACGAAGAGTTGGCCATGCCATTTTTAATTGCTATACGGATTGCTGTTTCGACCCTTCACCACTATCCCTGTTTTCTACAAGGTCTTCTGCTCCTTGCCAAACCATTTCATTTTGGATCCAATCCAGTTCTCATCAAAGTAATGGGAAAAACTCCAGTGGATTGGGCTATTATTATTTGTGGCTAGAAAGGGAAGGGCAGCACGCCTGTATGTGATTAAAGCTATCATTTTTAGCCAACTGATAAAAGGGAAAAGGAAGAAAATAAGGATGATTAAACCAGAGAACTTTTGGCCAAACCCGTTTTCAGTTGCTCTGGCAGAGACCATCTATCTTGCGTGTTGTGCTGTGCCGCACAGAGTATCAATATGCAGCTCTAGTAATAACGACAGTCATTTTCAGAAGGTCAAAATATTAGAGTAGATGCTAATGAGTTCCAATTCCAGTTTCTCTAACAGACT